CCCCAAAACCCCAAAACCCCGCATAATTGTATTTAAAATAAAATGTGATAAATAATTATATAAATTTACAAGCAATTAATATCTTATTTACTTTAACTGTTGAGATGAATTCATTCAAATATGTTAAAATCCATTAGCTGGCATTGTAATAGACTGCTAGTCTTGACCAGCTCCTCCTAAATTAGAATTACCAAAAATGCTATTAGCTTGTGAGTAGCTTTTGTAAGTATGCGAGTAACCTGTGCTAGGCCCACCGCCTGTGCTATTGCCACCCATACTTATGTTACTGCTCTTAATCCCATTTCCCATCATCCCCATGCTCCCATTTGAGTTCACATTCAGAGCTCCCTGGGCTATATATCCATTATTGTTTATCATAAGACCATTCATAGCTTGCTAATTCTTTTTATTAAGTAGGTTAGCTCTATTGCTAATCACACTATTGTTGCTACTCTCAATGGGTGAGATAGACTGCTTAAGCATTGATGCGTTATATTGATAGTCCTTGATTGAGTTATGCGGCTAGCCTCCAATTGAAGAGACTTATAGTCCTTATAGATTCATGTCCATAGGGTTCTAGTACTACCCAGGCTGCTTATTGTCCTTAAGTGTTCGACTTGGCAATGATTTATTGCGCATTTATAAACTGCTTTGAGATGACTGATTTATTGCGTTCTAGTTCCCAATTACAAGATTGGGTATATTTTATTGAGATGGAGAATTGGATAGACTTGTTTGAAACTTGCCAGAATTTCCTCCTCCGTTAAGATAGGATCCCGAAATCATACTTGTAGGACTAGATACCAGTAAACTGCTACTCTGATTTCTCACCATGTTGAACCCCTTAGAAGACTTATTGTTGTCTTGGAGAACAATCTGATTATTGGGGTTAAAGAAGTTACGCTTTTGTGAATCCCTTAGATCTATGCTCAAACTACCGTTACTCTTTCTAAGGACATTTTCACCATTTTAACTGTGATTACCATTGCTCTGATTAGATTATAAGCCAAAGTTTTGTATTTATGTAACCAGTTATTGAATTCCATTGAAGAAAGGGTGTTATAGGCATTACTAAGCAGTTGGCCTTTTTTGGGGATCAAATTAAAAGATTTTCTGCATCAAGTCAATAGCATCGGGATTTGCATTAGGTATCAGACTGCTGAGTGAGGTTTAAGCGAATTTGGGAAAGGAAAAATTAATCTGCGTGGCTAGTTTGTATCCATCAGGCCATTCTCCTTAACTAGGTGATCCCAGTACAGCGCATATTTTATATAACTAATCCATTTCACTATTACCAGGCCAAATTGGTCTAAGTAAGTATAACTCTGCCATAATTGCCCCACACGCAAAGATATCCACCGGAGAGTTATAGTTAGTAGATCTAAGAAGTAACTCGGGGGCTCTGTACCATCTGGTGCTTACATAATCAGTATAAGGTGGTCTGCTACGAATCTCTCTTGCTAATCCGAAATCTGCCAGCTTCACTTATTCCTGCCCATTCACACTATTCATTAGTAAATTTTCTGGTTTCATATCTCTGTGAAAAAACCCCTGCTTATGGCAAAACGCTAGTGCCGAAATAACCTAATACATTATTGACTTAATCTTCTCCTCTGGGAGGTTCGAAGTCCTATTTTTCATTAACTCGTATATGTTATTGTCCATGTACTCAAATACAAAATAAAGGTCATCATTAACTCTGATAACTTCTTTAAGCTTCACAATTCCTGGGTGGTTCAGTTTCCTTAACGACTTGATCTCTCTCAAAGCCATAGCCTCATCCCAGGAGTAAAACTTCTTTTTCATTTTCTTGATTGCCACAGTCTCATTAGTGGCTCTGTTTATTGCTTTGGCAACGGATCCAAAGGTTCCATCGCCCACTGTTTTAATTATCTTATATCGATCCATTTGTATTCTGTTTGTTGTCTAGTTGTTTGCTTGTAAAATATTTGATAGTGAAAGTTGTATCGGTTTTTGCTTAATAAATATTAGAGTGAGTCTGTGTTTGCTTGATATATATGTATGGTTATAACTAACTATAGAAATAATGTTGTAAGTAGATGCACAAGTGCTCTCTCCCTATTTTAAGATTATAATTTAATTTATTGCACTTTTAATCTAATTAATTCCGTAAAAAAATAAATGATAGCAACTTGCTTCTCACTTTGGAGAGATATTAATGCTAGAAAGTCTGTTTCTCAAAATTCATGAGTTAATACTAGTTGAAATTATGTATGATTGGATATATCTCATTAGAATATATTGATTGAAAAATGTGGAAGTTTAAGGAGATTTTATTAAATATAAGATTAGTAGGATTACTCTTCACAGATTATTAGAAGTGAATTATGAAAAATATTTAGCATTATGTACTGTTAAGAATTAAGCAAGTAATGTGATTTATACTCAATCAATTATATAGTTAATTAGCGTATCAAGTATCAATCATCGTTTACCTCGCTCAATATTGTATAATGTTCACCGATTTAGAATCATCATTTACTCCAAGCCCCTGCCTGATATTTCTCTTTTATCGTTATTAAAGATGTCTCTCAACTTCTGGCTTCTGGCATTTCTATGAAAAAGCAGGATCCACTGTCACCTCGAACTATACCGAATAATTATAAATATCTGAATGCTTTCATCTATTTAAGACTGGCAAGTACTCACCTATTTTTCGACTTCAAATCTTTCAGCTGTGGTTTTAGAGTCTGATACGCACTATCCCATATTTACTTATTGTTTGTTTGATTATATTTATTTATTTTGTAACAAGGGTTTAAATTATATACTTGCAAACGTTCATTTTAATGTGGATGAATGGGGTTTTGGGGTTTTGGGGTTTTGGGGTTTTGGGG